ATATTATTGTCATGCAATATATAAGTGTTACGTTAAGTTACATAAGATTAAGCGTTACTTATAATAAACATTTTGCTTTATTATATTTGGTTTGTTATAATTATATATTGCTTAGAGATTGACTACAAGAAGTTTTTGGATTATAAATTCAAACAATAATTCAATTCAAATATTAATGATTAGTGGAAATGAATACATAATTTAAGTGAAATGGTTTGTCAAATGGTTAACAGATCAATAAATTGCATAGAATTAGGTTATAAATAGGTTTTTGTAGTGATTATCAATTAGTGTGTAAACAATATTAAAGTATATTTTTAGCCTAACAGTGAGTAAAAGACAGATTTGTGACCAAAAAATCAATAAATTGTGTATTAATTAAAATATAAATTAAAGAAATAAATTACGGAAAATGAATTACTGTAATAGTTTTACAAATGGTTTATATCTGGAAATTATTATATAATATAGTAGTGTGTAATAGAAATAAAATATGAAATATAAATTAGTATTAAGACAAAAGTGCAGATGATTTAAATGAGAGCATAGAAGGGCACATCCCATGCAACACATAATCCATAATAACTGAGATATTAAAGGATTAAATGTTATGATTATATAATGTCTAAATGATATTATTATTGGTTGTATTATTTTCACTATAAAAAGGTGAAAAGGCTTTAGGTATTGGATGCGATGGCAATCTTCTATAGTTTCATAAATTAATTATTGCCTTCAAAGCGACTTATAGTTTGAATTGAATGTCTCATAAGAATGTCATACACAATATGTATCAGTTTCTCAATGTAACGGGTGTTCAACAAAATAGTAATTATTGGACAAATAATTTAAAGTTGCGATCTTTTAGGTGTAAAATATAGTGAAAATAAGACAATTGTCCACAATATTTCAATTAACATTTGTTTCCATAGAAGAACTCATATTAGTTGTAATATTATAACAGAATCAGTGAATTTAAATAATAGGAGTTAACAAATAGGAGTGATATACTTAACAATGTTGAAACATTTTGTTTTGTAGTGACTCTGATGTATGGTTTACTGTTATTCTTTCTTAAATATATTTACATTTTTCATTTAATTCATGATTAATTCTATTAATAATATTAATTACAATTTATATAATTCTTTACATTTCATAATATGTCATAATTTGGACTAAATTTTATTATTTAATATATTAGTTGAATATAATTTATATAAAAGTCTTGATATAATTTATAAATGTTTAAAAACTAAAAAAACATTTTCGATAATTATTATGGAATTTAGAGGAAAAGTAATATTTAATTATAAATTAATCATTACTTAATTAAGACTGAGATCTAGAATAAAACAAAATAAAACAATAGATTTTGTTGATTAGCGTTCATAGAGTTATACTATAATTATATCGTATTTACATAACATTCTGATAAATAATTTTTGCCACAAAACAAATACTCTCAATGAATGCCACAATTTATGGCAATATATAATTCATTGTGTTTTTAAATAAATTATAATCAATTAAATTATAATTCTGTTTAGTTTTGAGTGAATTCTTCAATGAATTCTGTATTCACTATAATTTTCATGTAAATATTGAAATCAGTCTTAAACCTAATCTTTTGGGTATTTTGTAAATAAATGATTAGATTTGACACAAAATATGTACAGAATATATCATAATTAACTAAATATCCAAATAAACTCCAGAATTATATGATTTACACAATACTGTATGAGAGGAATACTGAAAAACAAATCACAAATAATATACTGTAATATAAACTAAAATTCTGTTCTATAGAAGAATATTAGTGTAAATATTAATTGATATAATAATTATGATTATGTGTAAGCAGTTAGTGTATGAATGGATTAGTGGCCGTCAATAATCATTCACAAAACCTGGCATTTGGGAAGTTTTGTCATTCAAAACAGAGATTATTAGCAATAATAAAAGGACTATAAATTCTTAACAGTCAAACAGTGGCCCAAAATAAGTGATTTTAGCGCAATATGAATCAAAAATGGGCTACAATTTAACAATTATAAACAATTTATATTCCCTCGCATTCTCAATCTGGTTATTGTAAGCTTCTAAACAAATATGTAATTGTATTTTAATGGCAATAAATATAACAAAATGTAAGCAAAAATATAATCGGTTTTACAATATATTGGGAAAACACAATTCAGTTAAAATATAAGTTAATTGAAAAGGAATTAACAAATTAATAATACGGTAATAAGACTTGAGATTTGAATCATTGAAATACAATAAAACGAGTCAAAAAATATAAGAGAATCGGTTATTAGACTAACTCTCAGTTCAATTAATATAAGATTAAAACAAATTAATTCCTATTATAGTAATGTTTATAACTATACAGTAATTATATTAACGAATGAGAGGCAGAATGACTCATACCTTATCAAAGTTCGCAAAATTGGCGAAATTAGAGGAACCGAAAGCATCTTTGTTGTCGTTGAAGGGATCAAATGGTGGCTGACTTGAGCTGAACGGATCGCTTTTCGNTTATTAGACTAACTCTCAGTTCAATTAATATAAGATTAAAACAAATTAATTCCTATTATAGTAATGTTTATAACTATACAGTAATTATATTAACGAATGAGAGGCAGAATGACTCATACCTTATCAAAGTTCGCAAAATTGGCGAAATTAGAGGAACCGAAAGCATCTTTGTTGTCGTTGAAGGGATCAAATGGTGGCTGACTTGAGCTGAACGGATCGCTTTTCGCCGCAGTGTCCGAACTCGATGTGATGGGAGGCGCCGGCGCCGCCCGGAGTGGCGTTTTGCTCGCGTGTTTCGGTGGTGCGGGTCGTGGAGGCGGCGCTTTGCTCTTCTTTGGCGGCAGCTCTGGTGTCGGACTCTCCGATCTAACGGTCGATGGAATCGCTTGCGAAGCAAACGGATCGGAACCGAAGGGATCGGGCTATCAAACACACATTCAATGTGTCAATCATTAGATCACACGCTAAACATATAGTGTTTAACATTTAATATATACTTTATTAGAGGCAGTGAAAGATCCGGTTCCGAATGGATCGAAGGCCCCTTTGGACGCCTCCTGGGAATTAAAGTTCGCAAAACTGTTGGAAGCGAACGGATCGTCGCCTTTATTCTCACTCTTGAACGGGTCTTCTATTCAAATCATTTCATAATATAAATTAAAACAAATTATCAAAAACAATGCAATTAAGGGTTACCTCTGAACGGATCCTCTCCGGCAAATGGATCGCTTGTAAAGCCAACAGCGGTTTCCTTGACCTCCGGTTCATTTGCAAATGCATTGAAACCGTTTTGTGTGAACTCTGATTGCGGTTCGGGTTCGACGAGAGGAGGGGTCAGAGTTCTCGGCAACAAATTTGATATTTTGACCAAATCTTGCGCAGAAAGCGCTGAATCGTATTCATTGATGGCGTCGTTGACTCTCCTCTCATATTCTTCTAACTCCACAATTTTGGTCCCGATTTGACTGATTTCGAGTTGAGTGTCGCCCGTATTCTTCGACAACATTTGCGATTCCTTTCGAATTGAGTCCAATTGGGACTCGAGTTTAGTTTCCTCTGATTTCAATTCTTCGAGTTCTTTGCGTTTAGTCGAGAGTTCACTCTCTTGTGTCTCAACTTTTGTTTTTTGATCGTTTAATTGTTGGGTCAGATTCTCAACCTTTAATCCGGTTTAACACAAACACAATGTTAACAGAGATTCAGCACAAAATCATAACAAACAAAAAATACTCAAAAATAAGTAAAAAATCAATAAAAGGGAGATTTGATGTCACCTTAAGTTTCTCCTCCGAAAAATTTTGATTAATTTCATGCAAACTCTTTTCTAACAATTTTTTCTGTTTCGCAAAACAATTTAAAATAAAAGCAGATTTCATGCGAAGTAAAACATAAAAAAATCAACAAAATTAAAATTTTGAAAATAACGATTCAGTGCAGCCGTCTATGCAATACCTGAGCCCCCAAATCGTCCAATCGTTTTCTCGCCTCAGACTTCTGCGAATCGAGTTGTTTAAGCATTTGGTGTAAAGTTTCGATTTCGTTTTGAATGCTCTTTATTTCGCTCTCTTTCAGTCTAATACTCGCTTCGTCTGAATGCAACTCAGATTCCAGTCGTAATTTCTCTCTGCATTTCAAATCATGCAATCAATCAATATTATTGTCTTTAAGTCTATCATTATATTTACATTTGGAGTTCTTTTAATTCTTCCGACATATCATCCAATTCTTTATTGCCAGTGGACTGAAGGGCAGGAATTTCTGACTTTCCATTCGTTTTCAAGTCCTAATTGCCAAACAAAACAATAGTTATCGAAATGAATATAGAAAACGAATCAAATGAACACATACTAAGGCATTGATAGAATCGATTCCAACGGGTTTTGGCCGTAGAGTCGGTGGAATCATATCAGGGCTTAGATTTTGAGGCAATTCTAATCCCATTTGCTTTTGTGTTACAAAATACATTGCGAATGCCAAATGCTCTCCGACTGTGTGCGCAAACATATTGGCCAACGCTCTGTACGCAACCAATTGGTTAGGAGTCGAGTTGGCATCAGTTCCGCACACAAGCAAAGTGTCAATCAATCGCAACGAGTCCTTAGAGGCGCACAAATCTTCGTTTATTTGTGGCAATAATAGACTTAAACGAATCAAATCCAGTGCTGGAAATATTTTATCTAAAAACAGACAAATACTCTTTGAATTAAAAACCATTTAATAGATCTCTATAACGACATACTCTTAGGCCACGCAAGCATTATCCGAATGAGTCTCAACTGTTGCGGCTGTACTTCAAGTGTAAAATCTGACAGTTTTAATAGCAATTCAATGTCTTTGTTCTCGAGTTTCAGTTCCGGCGGTAAGTCTTGACTGAATTCCTTCAACTTCTTGGCAATGCCTTCAATGCTATGCGACTCAAACAACAGATGAGCCTTTTGTGGGTAATAAGCATTCGCCACAACAGTCGGTTCGGATGTGTCCATCGGTTGAGACAATCCGTTCGGTTGAGTCGAATAACTGGAACCACCGGTAAAAGGGTCCAAATTTTGTCCGCCAGAGAATTGGCCCAAATTCCGATCCGAATTTTTCGTAATGAAATTCACGATTTCATCCAAATATGTTTGACTCAAATTGTGTTTATGAATGAAATCCTGCGCTACAGTCCACGGATCTTGTGTTAGATTATAGGGCAGTTTAAGCTGAGGCTTCCCTTCCTCCACATCTATGGAGAAGACGTAATCGTATTCCTAATGTATGATAAGAAACACAACCCATTGAAAGCACACCCAAATGACGAGCAAAAATGCTTACCACTCCGTCATGAAGTTGCCGTTTGGACGCATCATTGGCGGGGCCGGGAGTGCCCACCACTTCGCCGATCTTAACCCATTCAAACTTCTTGGCGTCCCAGTTATGAACAGTCACTTTGTTGCCGTCCTTAACCATCTTCGTCTGTCCGTCTCTCTTTCCCGGCGCCAGTAGTGCCTCAGGAGTGGGCAAATCATTCACTTTCATGTCTCCAATTTCGGCCAAAGGAACCGTCGCTTTAGCCAACTCTTCCTCTAATTCTTTCACTTTTTCAGGCTTTGCCGCCAAAGACTCGTCGCGCGTATAGATGTATAGCCTTCCTGTTGAGGAGCCGATCACTAAATCACTGTTTGAAAGTCTGGTGAGTGACCAAAGAGTGGTCTCCGGGAGTCGAATGGTCTGAACTGAATGAATGGATTCCGTATTATTCCAAATCCTGACCGTTCGGTCTTCACCACAGGTCGCAAACTCATGGCCAGAGATTATGTTCGCAACGGAATAGATATAGTTCTCGTGTCCGACAAACTCTCTGATTGTCTCTCCCTTTAGATTCCACTCCCGAATGGAGGCGTCGTTAGAACACGAGAGGAAATTCGTGTCCGATATGACAGCAATCCCTCGAATGCAGTCATTGTGTCCTCTCATTGTTTCCACGCATTCAATCTTCGTCTCAAACTTCCATAGTTTAAGTGTCTTATCGGCCGAACCGGTGATCACATACTCGCCTATAAAACCGGTCGCCCAAACGGACCCCTCGTGTCCGGCGAGAACCGCTTTACACTTATTATCACTCCATACACGACACGTCAGATCCCATGAACCGCTCGCTATAAGAGATTTGTCATTACTTGCACTCAAAGCGCAAACTTATGACAAAAGTAACGATAAAATGGTTATAATAAATGGTACAGAATAGGTGTCAACGAATGCAATTGCATTACCAGTTCCCGAGTGATCCATAAGCTTATGGAGCGGTTCCGAGTGTTCCAGAGAATAGCAATAGATGTTTGAGTCATTACTTCCGACATAAATGAGTGTTTTTGTGGCCGAATGGAGACAACAAACGCTTGAGATGTAGTTCTGGGCGCCCAACAGGTTCTGCACTTCTGTGAAGTCATTGCTTTTGCTGTCAATGCAATCGTAAGATAATTGTTAACAATAATGGTGTCAATGGATGTCTTTCAATGGTAGTACCCATTGGTCTGATAGGCTTTGCAGGTGTTATCGCGGGAACCGGTGACAAAGCCACCGCCCGGAAGAGCGCAGACACACCGGATGTCCGCCTCGTGACACTTGACCACAGCTCGCAAAACGTACGCTTCTGTCATCTCTTGGGATCCGTTGGTTAGACACCTAATGAGTGGCCAACTCTTCGCCGATTCAAACAAATCGCTGATTCAATGCAATGAATGAGCACTTTATGCATACCTTTACAGCAATTACGACAAACTCTACAACAAAACACTTTATTGCAGTCAATATATTCA